CCCAATAAAAGCAGAAAGTGAGGAATCTTTCATTCACAATTTTCTTTTTTAATCATTTTTAGAGAGAGAGGAAAGGAGAGGGGGAGAGAGATAGAAACATCAGTGATGAGAGTGGCTAACCAGCTGCCTCCTGCACGCCCCCTACTGGGGATGGAGCCTGCAACCTGGGCATGTGCCCTGACCCTGGGGATGGGCCCTGCAACCTGGGCATGTGCCCTGACCCTGGAGATGGGGCCCGCAACCTGGGCACATGCCCTGACCCTGGAGATGGGGCCCGCAACCTGGGCATGTGCCCTGACCCTGGAGATGGGGCCAGCAACTTGGGCATGTGCCCTGACCCTGGGGATGGGGCCCGCAACCTGGGCACATGCCCTGACCCGAATCGAACTGTGACTTCCTGGTTCATAGGTCAACACAACCACTGCACCACACCTGCGGGGCCATAATTTCCTTTTTAACAAGAACCGTGGCCTTGTGCGTGCAGCGCCCTGTCTTCCATAGGCCCTCACTCCCACCCCTGCACAAGGTGTCTGTTCTTTCCACCTCTCCTTCATGCTGTAAATGGAGAGCGGGTTGGAGGAGAGAACAGAGCTGGTGCTCCCAGTGCCCTGAGCCTCCGCGGGCGGCAGCAGAGCTGACCCTTACATCTGCCAAGATTAGACCACTGCACTCTCCATCCCACGATGGGAAGTTTGGCCAACATATCCTCTCTCAAGATGCCATCCCTGTAAGAGCCCGAGCGCGCAGCACACGGGAATGAAAGAGCACATACATTCTCAGCGGTCTGGAACTAAGCTGCTCCACGAGGCCCGCCATCAGGCCGCAGCTCAAACCCCATCCTCTTCATCCGGGACACCCCGATCTTCCAGCAGCCCGCGGGCCCCAAGCTGGGAGCGCACAGCCCACTGCCTCTCCACGCCCCCTGGTCCTGGGCAAAGGATGACCGCTGAAGCCACAGAGGCCACGGGCCACCTGCGCTCCCCCTACGCTCACACCGGTGAGCAGCGCGGCTCCCACCCGCCGACCGCCAGCACTGCCCAGCCACTGGCTGGG